CTATTCATAAACAAACAGCTCTTATAACCATTCATATTAGGTTTGATTGCGAATGCTCTAAAAACAGTTGTTGAAATATGACAGAAGTTTTGTTTTAAAGTTAATAATTACACAGTTGAAATCATGTCCGCACAACTTGCATGCAGTTGTCAGGGCCTGGGTTGTTTTCAGATCACTGTCCCACCTTTCCTGGGTGATGATGCCACCCAGCTGCTGGAGCTCCAGCCACCATGTCTTAAGTTCTGAGCACTAGGAAGGAAAGGGGGAGGCGTGAGAAAAAGGTGTCCCTTCTGTTTATTATTTTTCCATGCATTCATTCATGTACAGTGCTAGGAATTGAGCCGTGTGACTCATGGTTTCTAGATAAGCATCCTACCACAGAGCTGTTTCTTTAGCCTCATGGATAATATCTTTATTTTACTTAAAAATTGCATTTAGTTAGTTAGTTAGTATACAGAGAAGAGGGGAACTTAACATGTCTGTGGATATCAGAGAACAGAGTGTAGGAATTTCCTTCCACAATGGGGTGGGTCTCAGGGATCAAACTCAGGTCATCAGGACTGGGCCTTTACCCACGTAGCCATTTCTATAGGCCCTGGATCTTTTCTTTAAATGGTAGCTCCTTGTTCTGCTTGAGCCTACTTCTGTTGGGGAATTTGTTGAGTGAGTCATCCTAACTGCTTGAATCATTAAGATATGCACCCTTTTAGTTGTATGCCATTGTGCCCAGATAAAAATTTGGGGTTCTGCTGTGCAGTTGTGATGCACACCTTTAATCCCAGCACTTGAGAGGCAGAGGAAGGCAGATCTCTGAGTTTGAGGCCAGCCTGGTCTACAGAATGATTTCCAGGACAGCCCAAGGCTATACAAAGAAACTTTCTCTCCAAAAAACAAACAAATAAAATGGGGGTTCTTTTGCTGAAGAAGAAAGGAGTCTTAGTGTTAGGACACTAGTGATCTCTGGCTATGTGATACCCAGACTGCAGAGAGTAAGACCGAAGCCACAGTAAGCTGGTAAGGTCACTGGAGAAAATGCAAGCAGCTGTCCATGGCCTCTGTATGGCATCTCTGCCAGATGGGTAGCATGAGAAGTAATGTCACCGCTAGAGGAGATGAAAAGGGACCAGGGACAGACAGGGGATAGCGTGGGCTCCTCCCTCTCAGCTTTCATGGGGAGAAGGGAGAGGTCTAGACCTTGAGCTGTGTGTGGAGAACCCCAGAAAACCCCTACTACAGCTACAGGCTACAGGCAAGCCTTCGGGGGCAGAAAGCATAAAATTCCACATATTCCACATCCCAGATCTGGGGACAAAGTAGCCTTATGGGGGCCCACAGTTTATCTAGACACAGCCTCTGTGTACCCCCCACATCCTCTATGTGGATGTGACGTGGCTCTGGTCACTCGGATTAGAGAATGATTCTCACCCACCAGAAGCTTTGCCTGACCTGCCCCGTGAACCCCTTGAGTCCTGCCCTGTTCTAAATCAGTCAGTGCACTGAATTGACAAGCTCCTAGGGGTATGGGGGTTGAGGAACTTGGAACTCTAGTTGGGTCCACTGGCTGCTCCCACAGGTAGTAAGACAGACCCAGAGATTTCAGAGATGCCCCAAGGGCAGCCAGGCCAGGCAGAGCAAGCAGAAGTATGTCCCTGAGTCACACAGGTCCCGTAGCTGTTTTTAGCTTCAGGTGGAGGCTGCTCCCCCTTCTTCACCCACTCCTCCTTGAGTCATTCTGGCTGCCTGGGGCACCAAACGTCCAGACTCACCCACTTTCCAGAATGACCCTAGGAAACCAGGCTGCCTTAGTGAACACCCTCCCTGCCCCCCCCTCAAAAGTCAGGTAAAGTGGCTTAGAGACCCAGGTGTTTGGAACACTGTCCTCAAAGCACTGTTAGTATGGTAGACATGGCCTTCCAGTTTCCTTCCAGGAGTCCCTTCCTTCCTGGAGCAAACAGGAAGAACACAGCTGACAACTTTCTCATAAACCTTAGGCAACAAAGAGCCACTAGTCAGACAGCAGGGCTCCAGAGAAGTCTTCAAGCCCAGAAGCCCCACTCACCTTCTGTTTGCCACAGACCCTCCAGGTGTTGAGCTGTTTCCTTTGTCTCTCCCACCCCAGAGGATGCCTAGGGCTTTCACACAGCCCACTTACTTCCTGAACTAGCTAGCTAGATGTTGTATCTGCTGGTTTCAAAAGGTCTCAGAGCAGAGCTATGCAGTCGAAAATATGGAAAGGCAAGTTGCTCGACATTGTCTACCCAGCCCAGGAAAACCCATTAGCTTCCATTCTAACCCTGCAGTGGTCCTTCCGTGACGTATATTATTAGCCCAGGAATTTTCAAATGGAGCAACCTTACAAGGATGTGTCCCCTGAGATCTGTTTCTCCTAACCTGTGATAAAGCCTCTAAAAATACCACCTTGAGAAACAAACAGAGAAGCAGTGTCACTGGGTCCCTTAACCTCTCGGTAGCCCTGACTGACACCCGTAGGTGCTATGTTACCAAGTGCCTCAGCCAACCCGTGGAACAGCCCTCTCCTAAACTCTGCTACTTGGCTCAGAGACCTGCTGTAGGTTCTACTTTGTGTGTGTATCCCAAGTCCACTGCTGGGATGAATGGGAGCCCAGGCCCATTCATGGTGATGGCAGAGGCCCATGGCAACCAGAAGCAGGCAATATGCATCCTATTGGAATTCGCACACTGCCACCCCATGTCATACTGTGAGCCAAGGAAGGGAAGTCCTGTTATCTGAGTTTCCCTCTGTTGAAAGAACTCAAATGAGGCACCCAGACAGAAAGGGGACTGGAAAGATGCCTCAGCAGTTGCGAGGACTGGCTCTTCTCCCAGGGAGCCCGATGCTCTCTTCTGACCTCCGCAGGCACACACATGGTACACAGATATGCATTCAGGCCATCTACACACATAAAATAATAACTTTTAGTAAAGAAGTAGGGTTCGTTACGGAGTAAAGAGAGACACTCTCCAAGAGCACAAGTGGACAATGGCTACAGGAAGGACCTGCTGTACCAACCCACATATCAGTCAGGCTTCACACTGTTCCTGACGTCTCTAGAACTGATTGCCTCCCCTGAAAGGCATTGTCCTGCCTCTCCAGATGGAATCAACAGACCCATGTGAATCAACTCTAAAGGAGGAGACAGTAGTCTTTGGGTTTTTTTTTTAAACCAGAAAGTCTCCCTAAATAGGAATCCTACAAATCTTACAAGGTTCGACCCCCATCTATTCTTCTCCCACATCTGTCTCTCTCTGGGATAGAGTCTTGATATGTGGCCCTGACTGCCCTGGAACCACCTGCCTGCCTCACAAATGCTGAGCTTGCAGTTAGGGAGGTATCTATTGTTATTCCAACAGTGGAGAAGGCATGTCCCCTCTACCTAGGGCCCACGATTCAACTAAGATCCCATTCTCCTGGCCGGTGCTCAAGACCTCCAGTTGTAGTCCCTGGTCTTACAAGCTTCTGGTGAGGAAAGACCATCCCGGATGACTTTTAAGCCTGCCAACTCCTCACTAGCTAACACTAGCCACAGGTTTGGGAAGCAGGAAGTGTATTCTGTCCACAGGGAGCAGGACAGAGGGAGTGGACAGAAACTGAAGAAGCAGCCAGTCATACTGTTCTCGAAGCTCAGGTGGTTGTGAAGGTCTAAGCACACAGCGTGTGTGCACGGCTGTCCTTGGTAAGCTGTACAAAGCTTCTAGTGTATGCACAGAGGTGGCATACACGGTACAGCCCTGTGGCTCCCAGGAGCCTTTGAGACAATAGTGTTCCTGCACTTGTTCTAAACTCTTGTCGCCTCTGAAAATGAATGAGCCCTGCTTGTTCTATAGCTGAGTAGTGGGCTTGGAGAGCCTGTGAGTTTACCCAGGACTGCGTCTGTCAAGAATCTTGGTCTCTACTCACGAGACTTAAGCACATTCAACTGTGCCCCTCAGACAAGGAGCAGGAGGAAGGAGTGAGCTTGGGTGCCACTGATTGTCTCTTTTCCCTGCTCCCAGATTACATAGCAGGCCTGATGGCCACAGATCACAGAAAACTGAGTACAGATGAAGAAAACTACATTTTAAGCTGGGTGTGATGGCACACACATGTAATCTCAATACCAAGCTGAAGTAGGAAAAGCATGAGTTCAAGGCCAGCTTGTACTACACAGCAAGACCCAAATAAAACATTTGAGGGCCTGAGTTCTTGTGATTCGGTCAGTATTGACATGAGTTTTAAACATCTAAGAAAAGATTAGCTTCACATACATGAAAAGTATAACTCCCTCAGCCGACCAGAGTTCTGAAGTAACCAGACCCTTCCCCAGATAGAGACTGGCTCCAGAGATCTGCTCCCTCAGATAAGAAAACAGTAATTAAAACTCTAGCCCAAGAAGACATGCTTTAAAATTTTGTTTCCCTGCCCAAACCGGGGGTGGGGGTGGGGGTGGGGAATCCTGTGCTAAAGCCTCGTTTTCAGACAGATGGAAGTAGAGGTGTTTGGGGAATAGAAAGGTAGGCAGCTGAGCCCGACCATGGAGTTTGTTACTCTAGAGTAGTGGCTCTCAGCCTTCCTAATGCTGTGAGCCTTTAGTACAGTTCCTCTTGTTGTGGTGATTCCAACCATAACATTGTTTCCATTGCTACTCCATAACTGTGATTCTGCTAACTGTTGTGCATTGCAATGTAATTACAGGTGTTTTCCGAAGGACTTAGACAACTCCCATGAAAGGGTCTTTTGACCACACACACACACACACACATACACGTGCGCGCAAAAGGGGCTGAAACCCACAGGTTGAGAATCTCTTTTCTAGAACTTTCTTGAAGCAGAATGGCTTTGGAGGAAAGTGAGGCCCAAGGCCCGAGGCTTCCAGAACCACTCACATCTCCTGAACGTGCAGGCACTGAGTGGTATCTTGGCATGGGCCAGCTGTCCTGGTAGAGATTCCACCAGAAGCCTCACCAGGGTCTCAGAGCTATGTGTCCCTCTGTCCTTGCAGGCGGATTCCAAGATGGTGTGTGATGTGGTGAGTCGTATGGAAGACACTGAACCGTTCTCTGCAGAACTTCTTTCTGCCATGATGCGACTCTGGGGCGACTCAGGGATCCAGGAGTGCTTCAACCGATCTCGGGAGTATCAGCTCAATGACTCTGCCAAATAGTAAGTGCATACACAGGCTGGAGGCTGGAGGAGAATGCAGGCACGGGGATGGGAGGCAGGGGACTGGTGAGAAGGGAAAGATTCTGGCTGAGAGACAACCTTCAGGTAGTGGCATCAGGGAGGGACAAGAATGACTTTACTTCCTGTGTCCAGGATGAGGAAGAGGTCAGGGAAGGAGAAAGCAAAGAGACAACCACGCAGGAAGTTTCTGGAGGATGGGAACCTGGTCACCACCTATGAGGGGTTAAATATGCTTGGCCTATGGGAAGTGGCACCATTAGGAGGTGTGGCCTTGTTGGAGGAAGTGTGTCACTGTGTAAGCAGGCTTTGAGATCTCCTAGTGCTCAGGCTCCACCCAGTGTTAAAGAGCCTCCTCCTGGCTGCTTTCAAATCAAGATGTAGAACTCTCAGCTCTTCCAGCACCATGTCTGCCTGCATGCTGCCGTGCTTCTTGCCATGATGATAATGAACCAAACCTCTGAAACTGTAAGCCAGCCCCAGTTAAATGTCCTTTTTAAGAGTTGTCTTGGTCAAAGTGTCTCCAGCAAGAAAACTCTAAGACACCTTCTCTCCTGGACCATGTTCGCCACAGAGGAAGTTCCAGGCTAGCAGGTAGGGTTTGTTTCTTCTAGAAAGACCCAGGCCATAAGTATGAATCAAGAACTATAGAGAAGCCAGTTGTGGTAGAAGACACCTTTAATCCCAACACTCAAGAAACAGAAGCAGGCAGATCTTTGTGAACCAAGGGCCAACCTGGTCTACAGAGAATTCCAGGCCAACCAGGGCTATATAGACAAATCTTATCTCAAACAATCAAGACACATGCACAAGAAATAACAACAAAAATATAGAGGCAGAAAGCCATACAGACAGTGCCTGTCTTCTGTCTCTGAGGAAACTATAGACTCGGGGCTGAGCTTTTGCTTGAGTACTTGCTTAGTGCATGCTGGACCCGGACAGTGTTTAGCACCACAAAAATAACTTCCTGAAATGTGTGTGAAAATGTCATAAGGAAGTCCATTACTTTATGTGTTTTTAAAAACTTTTTATTTATTTTTTTATTTGCTTTGCTTTATTTTTGAGAGTCAGGGTCTTATGTAACCCAGGCTGGCCTCAAACTCTCTATGTAGCTGATAATAACCTTGAACTCCTGACCTACCTAATTCTGCCTCCCAAGTGCTGGTGTCACCACCCCTCCCAGATCTCTTCTAGCTTTAAAGTAAAAAGTAAGAAATAAGTAGTTCTCAGTCAAGAAATAGATTACAGAAGCAAGCATATCTTTCAGAATTGTGCTGTAACTAGATAAAAGAAGAAAGGAAGGGGGAGGTTGGGGCAGAGAAGATGAAGAGAAATGAGGATCGGTAAAGCCACCACTGAGGAAGTGTCTCGACCCTTGCTGTGACACCCAGATGGCAGCGTGCTGAGCTTTGCCACCCTCTCCCCATGGGTGGCTCTAGAGTCCTGGAATGGATGACATGCTGGGGTTGTATCTTGGCATTGAGGGTGCCCTAGTTTTTGTAATATTGTATCCCAGCTTTCCAGAAGCATCTGCAGTGAGCTGCTGTGGGCTTTACCCAGCGTTGAAGGATATGTGTGACTCACATCGTTGCTGTGCTTCTCACTTGGGACCTGATTCTGGTGGCATTTGTCACTGTCAGCACTAGGGGGTGGTGCTCCTGGCACCCAGAGGCCAGACGTAATACTAGACATCCTACACTGGACAGTACAGCCCCCAAACATCTGGTCCAAACTGGTCAACCAGTACAAAACATCAATAGTGCTGAGATTAACAAACCATGATCTCTGGGTAAGGTGATGTGAAGGCACAAGGGTGGCAAGTTTGAGACGAGTCTGGGCTATACGGTGAGTCCGTGACTCAATTTTAAAAATTTAGAATATTTAAAACTGCAGTCTGCACTGTACCAGTATAGCCAGTTGCTTCCAACATAACAGCACTCACCAATGGCATGCGGGCGTTTCAGTGGCTATGATGGCAGCTAATAAACTAGGGACCTGTCTTAACTAGTATTTCCACTGCTGTGAAGAGACAGGGCTGTCCTACAGAGGTTTAGTCTTTTATTATCATGTCAGGAAACATGGCAATACACAGGCAGACATGGTGCTGGAGGAGCTGAGAATTCTACATCTTGATCAGAGGACAGCCAGGAGGAGAATGGAGTCCACACTGGGTGGAGCTTGAGCATAGGCTATTTCAAAGCCTACCTCCACAATGACATAATTCCTCCAACTAGACCACACCTACTCCAAGGCCACACCTCCTAATAGAACCACTCCCTATGGGCCAAGCACTCAAATACATGAGTCTTTGGTGGTCATTCCTATTCAAACAACCACAAGACGAGAGTAAGACCAAGAACCTCTTCCCATTTCTCACACCTGCATAGGATTGTACATAGGTAGATACCTAAAGTAGGTTGTGGCCACAAGCAGGTAGTGGCCACCCAGGTCACCAAGCCCTATAAGTTCTCAGGGACACCTTGGCGAGCAGAGATCTAAACTCCCTGTGCACACTCGGGTCATAGGCCTGAGAATGGCCTCCCCAGCCAGATGGAGCAGTCTCAGGCAGCTCCCTCCAGAACCTCCAGGGTACCCTGCCCACCTGTCCCCTGCTGGTCCCCAGGCTAGGGTTGACTTCTCTTCTAGGAGGACTGTCAGGGGTCCCAGAGGGCTTACTGGCCTCAGCCTGTGTTCTGGAGGTCCACCAATTATTCCTCTGAAATTTTACCATTTTATTAATACTAAAGTGAATCCCTTACAAAAACACCTCAGCAACAAAGTAGGGTATGAAATGAGCAGCAGTCCCCTCCCCCCCACACACACACTCACTTACACTCACACACACTGTCACACTCACACACACATACATACTTGCATACACATGCACACACACACTGCCTGTCACTGCTCCTTTTTATATACTGATCCTGCATCAGCCAGTATTTTCAGACTCTTACCTTGAAATATGGAGTCCAGCTCACCTTCCTTCTTCCCACGCGCTCCTACCACTTCCAGTTTTCTGCTCTGAATCCCCCCACTCCCTCTGAATCCCCCATTCCCTCTGAGTATCCCCACTCCCTCCGAATCCCCCCACTCTCTCTGAATCATCCCACCCCCTATGAATACTCCCCCCAGGTCAAGTCTCATTCTCTGGCTCGCCTTTGCCACTTTTTCCTGGTCATGTGTCCCGTGCTGTGGAGAGGGAAGACAGATACACAGACTGTTAAGAGTAGCAGGACCTCAAGTGTCACTTTGCCTTGTCTTGCCATGTATCCCACGTTTACCTGGAGCTTATTTTGTAGCTCAGACAGGCTTCAGACAGACTTTAGACCTCTCCATCCTTCTGTCTCAGCCTCTTGAGTGCTGGGACTGCAGTGCCACCATATCTTGCTTTCATAAATGCTATTTGAGGTCCAGTGTTGTGTGCTTTTAGGAGTTAAACGGGCTCTGATAAAGCTGTGAAAGTGCACAGCTCCAGAAGGAGCCATTAACATGCTAAAACCCCAATTAATAACCATGCCATACCACCCCACCCCAGCCCTGCCCCTTGTAGACCCCAGGCTCAGAGGGAAAGGGAGCGAGCCTGTTTCTAGACTGCTGTCCTGGTCCTTGCTCCCTTGGTGAACATAGCGCTTCTTCACCTTACATGAGACCCACATCAGTCACTAAGCAAGAGAATCCCATATAGACTTGCCTGCAGGCCAATCTTATGAAGCCATTTTCTTAATTAAGATTCCCTCTTCCCAGATATGTCTAGGTTTGTGTCAAGTTGAAAAAAAAATAAAAACCAGCATACATGGTTTGGGAGGCTTCGATGAGACTCAGTCAGCATAAAGTGAAAGCAGGGGCCAGCTTGTATGTTCAAAGGATGTTACCCAGACAAGAAAAGGGTCCCCCAGGCCAACAGGATCATGGAGCATAGCCTAAAAGAATTGGCCATTAGTAGTTGTGGACAAGGAGAATCAGCCACTGAGGACTGAACACAAAACCTTCCCAGATACACTCTGGCCTCCTAAGGAACCCAGGCAGGTCCAATATCACAGAACCACTCCGCTGCCTCAACTCCTTCCCTTGACCAGCCCCACTCTGCCTTCCACCAAGAGCATTCGGAGAACCCTGATTCCAAAGATCCAGGTTCCAGGGAGGTCCTACCACTGCTTGGCTGAGGTAGACCCCCCTGATCCCCACTTACAAGAGCATCAAATGGGAAGAGACACACAGACCTCTTGGTAAAAAAGAAGAAAGTATCAAATGGTAGATGGATGCTCCGAGCCTCTCAAAGTACCACAGAGCTCTAAGACTCTGGAGCCATGGGACTGTCTTGCACTGAGCCTTGGATTTTTGATGTGTAAAGCAGTATATTTGGCACCGAGAAATTAAAGATGGAACATGAGTATGTGGAAAGTATAGAACCTCATTAGCTGGGCATATGGGCCCAGCTCCTTTGAGTCTGAATAAGAGAACCTTAGAGACAGCAAGTCTGAGACCCTCATGCTCTCTCTTGTTTATCCCTATCTGTTGGTCCCACAGTCAACCTTGCAAAGGCTATGGCTGACATCAGACTTTAAAAGTAGTGAGCCTAGAACAGGGCCCGGGTCTATGGACTCTTGTATGTTGTCATCCCCAGCTACCTGGACAGCCTGGATCGGATTGGAGCCGCTGACTACCAGCCCACCGAGCAGGACATCCTCCGAACCAGAGTCAAAACAACCGGCATCGTAGAAACCCACTTCACCTTCAAGAACCTCCACTTCAGGTGAGGCCTAAGGAGATGGGGCTTGGTGATGGGTCTGGAGATGTGGCAGAGAGTTGAGGGAATGTTCATGCCCTGCCTCACCTCATCTGGATAGCCAGGTAGTGTCTTACCTCAAGGATTTTTCTCATTTGGTCAGACAGCTAGATACCAGAAGAAGTCCATCTGGGTAATCTGGGTACTTCATTTCTGCCAAGTTCAAAGACTAAAAACAGCAAGTGACTTGCTTAAGAGCCCCCTGGAAGAGAACATGGTGGTAAGCCTGAACCAGGTGGGTAAGCCCAAGCAATGCCTGGAAGGCCAAAGATCATTATAGTCTCAAAGTTAGAGAGGCTGAGAGAACAGCTCTCCTGCTCACGTGCTAGAGAACCTAGAGAAGGCAAGGCTAAATAAATAAATAAATAAGTAAATAAATAAATAAAAGAGTTTTCCCCAGGTGCAGGCTCTGGATGTTTCTAGGACCCTACTGGAGGATTTTTGTCTCCTAAGAGTAACCTTTACTCACTAAGTAAAGTCTCGTGACGCCTGTTCTGACTTCCAGGTCTGGTGTCTTAATTTCAGGTGAAACTAGGAGACGGAGAGGTGAGGCAGGGCTTTGAGTCAGTCTACCTGAGCACACAGTTCAGTCCTGGGACAGATCTCAGAGGTGATGAGAGCTGCCTCCAGTCCCAAGGGGCTGTGTCTAGTCTCCAGAGTGGCAGAGGCTCATCTGTCAGTCTGCTGGGGCTCAGAACGAGGTACTGCGTGCCCACTGCCCATCACCAGCTCACAGGATGCTACTAGCTCACAGGCATCCCGACCCTCACAGCTTTCTCTGACTCCCTGCAGGCTGTTTGATGTCGGGGGCCAGCGATCTGAACGCAAGAAGTGGATCCACTGCTTTGAGGATGTCACGGCCATCATCTTCTGTGTCGCACTCAGCGGCTATGACCAGGTGCTCCACGAGGACGAAACCACGGTGAGTGACCTAAAGTGAGAGCTGGCCACAGACCAAGTCGACCATCGGAGTCCTTGGGCCTCACAGACGGGCTGTGCCACGCACCCTTGCCTGTTCTGTATTGCCAAGGCAATTGTCAAGTGAAGAGACCACTGTGGCAGAAGCGTCTGGGGGCCTCCTGCTGTGGTTTATGTTGTCCTAATTCACTACAAATGACATATCAAAGTTGGGGTCTTGGCCAGGAAGCACCTTGTTAGTAATAACGGAGTCACAGAGCTGTCAGACCAGAAAAAGAAAAAAGAAAAAACAAAAATCCTAAGCAAATCCTACAAAGGCAGACTGTAGCCAAGCAAGGACATTCATGCAACAGAAAAGGTGGCTTTAGCTTGTCTGCCCTTCCTGGGGTAGTGGCCAGCCTAAGAGGTGTGGGGCTGCCTAGCCAAGAAGGACACCAAGATTGGAAGCATACTGGTGAGTGTCAAGTGTAGCTTTGGGCTTTCTCTGCCAAACTCAGTATCTGAGACCTGCCCCCTGGCTTGAGAGAGGGCCCTCACCTACCTTCCCCTTGGCCTCATCCTGGCTCTGCTGCCCGTTGGTATACTGTTAAGTTCAGACAGCCACCTTTCTGCCTGGGTTCCTGTCATGTGAAAGGTAGACAGTAATAGCACCAGCCTTGTCTAAGGCTGCTGATCGTGGAAGCGTTTCTGGCTTAGCAGTGTCCAGCGTGTGGGTATGTTATCACTGGTGATTGCCCTGAGCCAGATGCATCCACTGAGCTTTTCCCGTTTGGAGTTTAAGTCTGTGGACCTGTTCACAGAGCCTGGAAAAGGACCCAGGCCTCAAGCCTGGCCTACTGGGTCATGGGAGACAAACCTGCTTCTGAAAGTGGGGCTTGTGGCTGTGGGCTCACACTTTGGCGTCGGCCCTCCTGTCTGGAATACAATCAGACCCTTCACCCTGAACTTTTGGGATCAGCACCAAGGGTCACTGTTGGGGGGAGGGGTCTGGCTAGCCTTGAACAAGGCCTGTCTTCCTTATGAGTTTGATTTGTTTACCAGTCCAAGGTCAGTCATCACTGGTATCTGTGGAGGGTGTGAGTGAGCTCCGGGATACGTGCCGTGGGGGTACAGCACTGGTAAAGGAGGACCCGCCGTCTTGAGTGTCTTTAGGCCAAGCTGCTGGTAGGAGGGGTGGTCTGGACTTTTACCACGTGCTAGCTGGGATTCAGAGCTGTCTCTTGCCATGGCTGTGGTAAGCAGTGCTCTAGCCCCAAGCCTCAGTGTGGGGTGGGTAAAACATGCCCTCAACTGCTCTTGAACCCCAGACTCTGTGACTACCTGAAGCCCAAGGCCTTCTCAATTATTACATCCATCCAAATGACTGACCCAGTACGCGCTCCACAACTATGGGCTGCTTCTGTGCAACTAGAGCTATTGTGTTCTTGCCCTTGGCCTACCTTTTCTCCTGGCCATGTCTGGAATTAGATACTACACCCAACATGGAATTGAAAAAGAGTCAAGGAGCTGGAGGCCGGATGGTGGGAGACCCTTCCCACTGAAGCATGGCCTCTTCTTTGAGCCTGACCTGCCAGAGCCAAGGCCTGGGGCCATCAGCTGTGAGGCCCCACCCTCAGTCATCCCCAGAGCACAGAATAGAGCTAAGGGAACGTGGAGTGGGCACCAAGCCTCATGGACTCACATCTCCAGGTTGGCGGTGGCTGGGGCCCTACCTGCCTCGTTGTAAGCTTCTCACTGGCCTCACTGCTCTGCAGCAGCCAGGCCCTGAAGCACTGTCCTCCAGTGTGCTTCCTGACCTTCCTGACTCTTAGCACTTCCCCTGCCTCCAGCTCATTCTCCATTTTTCTTGCTTTCCTCCACAAAGGATGGAGGTAAGAACCTTAGGGAAGGAAAAGCATATGAGCCAAAGTCAGAACCAAGCTCTTCCCAGAGTTCTCCCTCCCCAAGGCTGTCCACCCCAACAGCCAGGGAAGAGAACCAAGCTTCCGGGGAACAAGGGTTGCCTTCCAACTTGCCAGCGGCCTACAGCCGCAGCTCCTGGTTGTAGTGGCAATGAACTAATACTATTGCTGCAGAACTAGCCGTCGTCGGGATGGGGAGGGGCGCGTGTGTGTGAGATGGACAGTTTGGATTCAGATGGATCCAATCCGAGGCCCGGCATCGCTCCTGCCGGCTGTGTGACCATACATTACCGTATGTACGTACACCTTCCTCAGGCTGGGCTGTGGGGAGATGGTGAAAAGTGCCTTATGGGCTAAGAGCTGGAATGCTGTCTGTCCGCGCAGACAGCTCTCAGTAAAAGGTAGTTCCACTCCTATGCCCAGATGATGTAGCCAGGGGACAGATGGTAGCTTATGGAGGCAAGATGTAGGCTCCAATTACCCAGTCCTTGGTCCTCGGCCTTCCCCGAAGCCAGCGATGCACTTCCCTCCCTGGCCTGTGGGGGAAGGTGGAAAGACAAAGATGTCTGGAGGCAGCTCCTGGAGCTAGGCCAGGAAGGCCCTACGGCTAGTGGTTGCCCAACACCGGACCAGCCACCCTGCCCGCTGCACCCTGGGACCCCGCGGGCTCATCTTGTCCTCGTACCTGCTCTCAGCGCCACCCAGCCAGGCCACAGGCTGCCACAACTTCTCCACCACCACTGCCACGAGCGCCTGCAAGGCCTTTTCTTACCAAAGCAAGGCCAAAACCATGGGCAGATTCTGAGAGACCCTCCAAGCCCAGCAGGTATGAAGCACCTCCCTCTGATCAAACATGAGCTAAGAGTTGAAAGCAGCAGGTTCTCAGGGCCCCGCTGGGTGACTTTGCTGTGAGTGCCAGCCCAGGCCTATATGCTCCATGCTGGCTTCTGAGCTGAGGCCGCCCTCCCCACACAGCCTTTTATCCCAGCCACATAGTGCCCATCACAAGGCTGCTGTCGCCTGTGTAGGTGCCTCCCTCAGCTGCCCTGGACTTCCTGAGTCTGAGACCGATTGGATCAATTTTTCAGGATTTCTCTTTTTTCTTCTCTTGTGTTTGCTGTTGAGTTTTTATCTTCCTTTCTGTTTTAATCTATTTTGCTGAGTTTCTTCTTGGGGCTCTCCTGGCTCCTCTTCTGAGAAACCAGCCCCAACTCCCAGCTTTCCCAGAGAGAGCTTCCCTCAGCCTAGCCATAGCCCAGTCATCCAACAAAGTCACCCAACCAACCAAGGCCACAGCAACATCACCCCTGAGACACTGTCCCCCTGGTATCTGCTTCCAACTCAGGATTAATTCGAGGACCTCACTCCTCGGTTAATGTTATTCAACTGAATGCGTGCACCCTCCTGATCTCGCTGGCAAAAAATGAATGAGACCCTGGTATGGACGTCTGCATGATCCACGGGCTCGTGTAGACCATGTTGGATGGTGGTTGTACCCCTGTCCTCTACGTGCATGGTGCATGTCCTCTCCAGGGACTGCAGCCTCTGCAGTGACCTCACTGCTCTGCCCAGGCCAGCTCTCTCTGAAAGGGACAGCACTCCTGACCCACCCCCGGCTCCAACCAAACCTGCCTGTGTGTGGAATGAAGCAGGGACATGTCCTGTTTGTCCATGTGGGCCCTCTGTCTCTGTCCCCAGTAATGCATTAAGAGCATTGGTGGCCCGTCCCTCTGCTTGTCTCGCTGTGTCATAGCCACAGTAGGTCAGGGTGCTGGGTACGGCCAGCCCTCACCTGTATCTCCACTCTGTTGCAGAACCGCATGCATGAATCCCTGAAGCTTTTTGACAGCATCTGCAACAACAAGTGGTTCACAGACACATCCATCATCCTGTTCCTCAACAAGAAGGACATATTTGAGGAGAAGATCAAGAAGTCCCCGCTCACCATCTGCTTTCCTGAGTACACAGGTAGAGCCCTCCTCACCCCACACAGGCTCCTGCAGCCACGGGGCAGAGAAGGAAACTGGTGCCTTTGCTGTGCTTGGGTATCCAGATCGCCCTGCAGAAACCACCCTTAAAGACCTGTACTAGAGCCAGGCAGCTAGAGCCTGGGCCCCTGGCTTGTTATGTCTCCATCTCCTGTGTAGTCCTGACAATCCTAGGGAGCTCGAGTGAGGGATCTATCAGCAGAGTGCGCACGCACAGTGGGAATGCACAGTGTCAAAGGGACAACAAACAGGGTCTGAGAGTAGCAGGGTCCATCCCTGCTTAGCCCCTGGAGAGAGGCCTAGGCAGACCACAGCCTTTCCACATAGGTTTCTTCATCCATGAGATGGGGGCTGTCAGTGGCTATCTCCCCCAACTCCTGCAGATTTACCATCAGGGTGAAAGAACCGCGTGACTATGCAAAGCATGGCACTCGCTACGCAGTCTGTGGTCAGTACAATTTGATGTCACTACTGCGATCACAATAATATAACAGCACCTCCCACATAAGTGACCACAAGACTGACATGGCCCATTGGTTGGGATAGACTCTGGCAAGCAGCAGGGCCTTGCCTATACTGGAGAAAGTGCAGGGACAAGAGGCCCGCTATCAGTGACCATGGACCCTGTGGGAGTTGAAAGTGCAGGGACAAGAGGCCCGCTATCAGTGACCATGGACCCTGTGGGTGTTCAAGACTGGCAGCCTGATGAGGTGGGCTGTAATAAGCCCAGGACAAGCCAGTCCTTGTCAGCTGTTCTCAGGTGACCAGGTCCTGGGGGACACAGATCCTGGCAGCATGGTCCTGTGGGTCATGGCCTGAGGTCAGGCAGGTGGCACACTGTTCTACACCCTGCCCTTCCTACACTTGCTCCTCGAAATCAGGCCAGTAGGCCAATAGGTAAGGACCCCAAGAGCATTCAGTTGAGGAGATCAGGGCTCAGCCTCCCTTGCCAGCCAGCCAGATTTCTTCTCCAGCTTTAAGATAGCCTGTGAGACCCCCTTGTGTGCTGGTCACCAACTGAGTCAAGACAGGAGGGGACCCTAACTGGGAAGAGACTACTAGCCTTACTTCCAGTCCTGATTTAGCAAACAGCATGGTCTGTTAGATATTCAAGG